AATAATATTAATTACTTTTAAATACATAACCAAGAGATTTCAATCTCAGAGATAAATTGTGAAAATGTAGCTATGTAGAATATGTGTCTTGCTGTAATATTTTTTTAATAAGTTAAAAATATATATCATATTGGAAGCATTTCCTAAGGAAAATTTTAGGAAAGGTCCTTTCTGGTAATGGTAGAAGTTATCCTAAATGTTCATCCACTTAAAATCTCTCAAGGCTTCAAGTTGTTGAAGTTCCCTAAAAGCCTTCTCAATGAGAGAAAAAATGCTCCTTCAAATGTGCTTGACATGGATATTCTCTGAAATGTTCTCTTTTGGGGTAGATATGATCATCTTTCTAACATGCTGACCAAGATCTTAGATGAACGTCCTGAAAATGCTGTTGAAATCATTGAGAATATTAGCCAAGATGTGAAGATGGCACATTTCTGTAAAAAATTAGATACACTCCAAAATGAAAATGAGATGCTCCCAACATATGAAATAGCAGAGAAGCAAAAGGCTCTTTTTCTCCAGGGAAATTTGGAAGGAGCTGATCAAGATCTGGAAGATGAAATAGTAAGTTACTCCGTAAACTTGAGTAGTTCAAACCTGGGGTTTTAAATTCTTTTACAGCTTCCTAAACATAGTTTGCCCTCAGCTACTAACTAAAAGATTGGCGGTTGGAATCTACCAAGTGGCACTGTGGTGAAGAAAGGCCTGGCAATCTACTTGCATAAAACTCAAACCAAACCAGACCAAACAAAACCCACTGCCACCGAGTTGATTCCAACTCATAGCGACCCTATGGGACAGAGTAGGACTCCTCCATAGAGTTTCCAAGGAGCAGCTGGTGAATTTGAACTGCTGACCTTTTGGCTCAGCCATAGCTCACCGTAGCTTTCAACCACAGCACTACCAGGGCTCCTCCATATGATTATAGCCATTGAAAACACTATGGAGCACAGTTCTACTTTGAAACACATGGGGTCGCTATGAGTCAGAACTGACTCAAGGGCAATGGGTTTGATTTTTGGAAATAGTATTTGAATTTTATTTTTTCAGTCAACCTCATTTCATAACATTCATTTCTTTGTTTAGGGTTTTTTTTTTTTTTTTTTTTTCCACATTGTTTTAGAATCTCACAGGCCTTAGTTGTTTCTTGTGACTGTGAGGCTAAGTTCCATGATATCAGAGAAAACGATTGCTTCATCTTTTATAATCTCCAACACCCCTAGTACAGATATGGGCTTATAGCTTTTCTTATTAAACATTTGCTGTACGAATGAATGGATGTCAAATAATTAAAAATTAGGCTTTACATCAAGTTACATATTTTTCCCTTTAATTTACTAGAAAAGTTAGAAGTACTCCAAATGTCATTTGGACTCTCTTCCAAGGTTTAAGTTCCTCATATTATGTTTTGATAGTATGCATATCATTTCTTCACGTTACTCTTGATATTATGCATATTATGTCAATGGGATATAATGCAAGAAGAGAAGGATAAAGTATTTCTTTTATCCTCTATAGGCAAATTGTTGAAAATATTTGCAGTCAGAGAAAGCTGTTGACAGAGGACGAAAGTAATAGAGAATAAAATCTGTTGAATCACTGAAATCTTAGATCCAATTGTTTCAAAATAAAACCCAACATTCTGTTTCCTAAATGCCTTGTATGTTTGTAATTTATATGTACTGACTGAGCTTCCATGCTTTTTTACCACTAGAGGGGTTGAAATCTGTCTATATACTTGCAAATTTATTGTTTGGGATAAAGTACTGTCGAAAAAGGGCTTCGGGGCAGGGACCTAGACAGTAGGTGAACCTTCTAGGGCTTGGCAGCCTTTGGGGGAGAATCAACTTGACGCAGTGGGATCCAGAGTACTTAGAGGGAATAGATGATAGGTGTCAAGGAGTTGATATTGGGCTGCTTCAACAAGGTGGCATTTGGTTATGTAGCCACATACAGTAATGATCAGTCTGGAAGCAAACAGCATGTGGGGATTAGGCAGATAGGCAGGCAATCTCATGGAGGAATTAATCAAAGAAAGGTCAGGCTCCAGCGTAAGAATGGGGCATTGGGCTTTCTACCAAGCACAGCATTACAAGGTAGGGATCTGTGTCCTAAAACTAGGTTACAGAGTGAAAACACAGATAATCTGTTTTGATCCTGAAGCTTCTACCCCTTAACTGGATTCCATAAATTCTTCCTAATAAGGGGTAGGATTGGTTTTAGAGCATACAAGTTCTGGGTCATCAGGAGAAGATTAAAAGCTTCATCTCAGAGAGAGGAAGGATCCAGGAACAAGAAGACAGGCAAGTCTCAGAAGCACTGAAATATGAGCTATGTGATCGACTCTGTCCCGGACTTATATGCTTAGAGTGTTCATGTTTCTGTTCCTACCTGTGACCATGGCAGAATTCCTATGCTTAGCCTTCAGCATTTATTTATTTATTCATTCACTCATTCATTTGCCAACGTTTGTGACTACCTATTTCATGACAGGTACTGAGATATACACATGAAAAAGGCTTTTCTGACTTTTAAGTTGCCAATAATCTAGTTCAAGAGGCAACAAAACAGTTGTAAAGCCATTTGGTTAGTGCGTGATAGAGATAGCCTTATGTGGTGGAAAGAACATGGTCTTTGGAGTTAGACCTGAGTTACAATCCTAGCTCAATCACTTACTAAGTATGTGACTTTGAGCAAGTGACTAAACCTTTCCAAGCCTCAGGGATAATAACATATCAATAACATGACAGAGAGAGAGAAACTCACATATACTGAGAACTAAATAAATGGTAGTAATTATTATGTTGTTGTTTTCACAACAGCTATGAAACAGAACAGAGCCACTAACTCTGCTGTTTGGAATTGGGAAAGGGTTTATAGTGGAGGTGATATTTCATTTACGTCGTGAAGGATAAGGATAAGTAGGAGTTCACCAGGTGAAGACTATAAGGAATAAAATTCTAGCCAAAAGGACCAATAAAAAGTTGGGGAATATTATTTAATGTTTGGAAAGGTGAAGCATGAGTTTCTGGGAGTGAGTGACGGAAATGAAGCAAATGAGGTGATGAAAGCCAGACTCTGCTCTTTATGCATTGATAAGAAATTTCTTTCTTGCATACAGTGGGAAGCCAATAGAAGTTTTTAATAGAGAATAACATGGTCTGACTTTTGGTTTAGAAAGATAAGTCTGGTAGTAATGTGGAGGATAATGAAAGAAGAAAAGTTAGAGTAGGAGCAAGGAGAGCATTAAAAGGCTTTTGTAACTGAACAGTCAGTAAGGATGGAGACCAGGGTGGTAGGAATGAGTTGAAGAGAAGGGGATAATGCCAAGAAATTTTAAGGTGGCAAAACCAATAGGGCTAATTAAATAAATATGAATTAAATATGAAAGGTCAAGGGAGTCAGAGGAAGCAAAGATGACTGAACTTTCTAGTTCAGGAAACTGAGTGAATGATGATGTCATTGGCAAAGATAAGGTATATATATATATATAAAAGACTTTGAGAGAAATATAAATTCAATCTTAATTCAAGGTATCTAGAATATTCAGATTGAAATTTCTCATACATAGCTGGAAATACAGGTGTGGAACATGGGAGAAAAAATCAGAGTTTAAGAGAGATTTTTTAAAGCCACATTTCACTGAAGTGGTGTGGGAAAAATCTTAAAAGCATAACATATTGAGCAATGAGATACTTGAAAAGGAAATTTTGGGGACAACATTCAAGAGACATTTAAGAAGAAAATAACCAATTAAAAAGACTAAGAAGAAAAACTCCTCAAGGGCAGGATAGGATCAAGAGTGAGTGGTACAGCAGATGCCAAAGACAGAGTTTTACAATCCTACATCAAGGAGCTGAGAGTTGACAAAGTCTTTATGCTTATTTTGACACTATAGTTATAATATAAATAAGACAAGATCATTTGGAAGAATTGCAATTTCTCTACCTTGAGAATCTAGGATTTGTCTTGCAAATTATCCCTCCCTCAGTTAAGGTTATTTCCTTCTTTCTCACAATTTCTTTTTTTTTCTAATGTTCACTTGAGACTCTGTTCATTTCCCTGTATTTCTTTTATGGAGTTGTTTCTTATTTTCTTCCTTGTTTTAAATCTGAACTTATTTATTACAAGGAAGGGCAAGCATCTGACTACTTCATTATATCTTCAAGTGTAGTCATGCCTGAGCACTTATTTTAGTATATAGTCCTTTTAGTGGTTAAGAGCTATAGCTGCTAATCAAAAGGTTGGCAGTTCGATTCCACCAAGTGCTCCTTGGAAACCATAAGGGGCAGTTCTACTCTGTCCTATAGGGTCACTATGAGTTGGAATTGACTCAACGGCAATGAGTTTTTTTTAGCTTATTCTATACACTTATCCTATATATAGAGTAGCACATTGCTTTTTATTTACTTTACATATTACATACATACATATACATACGAGATATATATACTTAAGAAAATAAATACATATCACAGAGAAAAAATGATACCACATTATCTATATAGATATATAGATATAATCAGGAAAAACTAGTTGCCATTGAGTCAATTCTTACTCATGGCTACCCTGTATGGGTCAGAGTAGAATTGTGCTCCTTAGGTTTTGTGTCTGCTTTTTTGAAAGTAGATCGCCAGGCTTTTCTTTTGAGGTACCTCTGGGTAGCCTCAAACCACCAACCTTGCAGTTAGCAGCCAAGCCTATTAACCGTTTGCACAGCCAAGGACTTCATAGATACAGATATGCCATAAGTGTATGTATATACATACATATATACATGGGAGTCCATACATGGCAGTTAAGTATTTTTTTTATAAAAAAGAGATGTTGAATGGTTATTATTAATAGTGGTTATTAAATTCTTTCTGCCTAAAGTATACACATAAAACAAGGTAACTATTATGTATATTAATGAATATAAGATACAGTGGTAGAAGCTACATTCCTAAGTAATGAGAGAGGAATTGAAATTCATGAATTATCCCAGTTTGATCTAAATCTTGATAGAAATGTTGAAGAAGTAGTGAAGCAAGAAAGTAGAGCTAGTGTCAACAAGGGCAGAAAAGAAAAGGGAAGCAAGCAGTTCTCTTATGGATAAAATTTTTAACTACAGTGTTTGTATTCCCAGGCAGAAAACCCTCTTCCAAATGTAATGGAGTCAGCTTTCTATTTTGAGCAAGCTGGAGTCGGTTTGGGCACAGATGAAACTTACCGCATATTTCTTGCCCTCAAGCAGCTCACTGACACTCACCCAATCCACAGATGTCGTTTCTGGGGCAAGATCCTGGGTCTGGAAATGAATTACATTGTAGCTGAAGTGGAATTTCGTGAGGGAGAAGATGAAGAGGAGGTGGAAGAGGAAGATGTAGCTGAAGAGAAGGACAATGGAGAAAGCGAAGCTGATGAAGAGGAGGAACATGAATTACCAAAGTCCTTTTATAAGGTCCCGCAGGCTGTACCAAAAGAAGAAAGTAGAACGGGTGCCAACAAATATGTCTATTTTGTTTGCAATGAACCAGGAAGACCATGGATTAAGTTACCATCAGTTACACCCATACAAATTGTTATTGCAAGAAAAATCAAGAAATTTTTCACTGGGCGATTGGATGCTCCTGTCATAAGTTACCCACCTTTCCCAGGAAATGAGACCAATTACTTAAGAGCACAAATAGCTAGGATTTCAGCAGGGACCCACGTCAGCCCTCTAGGATTCTATCAGTTTGGAGAGGAAGAGGGAGAAGAGGAGGAAGAGGTAGAAAGCGGACGACAGAGCTTTGAGGAAAACCCTGATTTCGAAGGCATCCCAGTGACTGATCTAGTAGAATCCCTATCCAATTGGGTTCATCACGTACAACATATTCTCCCTCAGGTAGGCGCTTTGTAATTCTCAATCTACAGCCAATCGGTAAATATTTATTAAATTCTCTCTACAGTGCACAAAGATAAACAAAATGAAGCCCTCAGACTCCAGACAGAGAAAAAGACCATAAAAATCAAGTAAAAACACAGAATACTATATAATTGCCAAGTAGTTTGGACCAGAGATTTTTCAAACAGATTTTTATCTTCAAATGGAAAATAAAATAACTACTTCTATGGAATATTTGACCAATGACATAAAGATTAAGTTTGTATGCGTGTGTGTTATGATATTACTATTTTTATATGGTAAATACAAATGGGTGCATTAATTTTAGAAACTGTTCTTTTATTCTATTTCTACAATACACTGGCACTAATGGAGATTTTATGCCAAGAACAATAAAGGATTATAACAAAAACAAGCAAACTGTGCTATATAACACTTATATAGCACCTACTGTGCCAGGTGCCTGCTGTTCTAGCACTTTATATATATTATTTCATTTAATCCTCACAACAACAGTATGAAAGTTGTACTATTATTACCCTTATATTACAAATTGAGACACAGAGTTTAAGAAATGTGACACAAGGAACATAACTAATACATAGCAAGGTCAGATGTGAGGCGAAGCAGAATAGGTCCAGAGTCATCTTAACCACTTTGCTATATTGCCTCATCCACAAGTAGAAAATCTTCATTGTACTTTGATCTAGATAAGAGGTACCCTTAGATATCTCTAGATAAGAGATAATTAAATGAAAACTTATAACCTCCAAGCCTCCATACCTAGCCTTGTTACATTTTTATTGTCTTGTATTAATAATCATCATCATATATAATATATAATACCTCCTTCATATAAACCATTTATTACAACCTCCTGGTGGTGCAGTGGTTAACAGCTACAGCAAGCTACAGCTGCTAACCAAAACGTTGGCACTTCAAATCCATCAACCGCTCCTTGGAAACCTTATGGGGCAGTTCTACTCTGTCCTATAGGGTCACTAAGAGTTGGAATCGACTCAACAGCAATGGGGCTGGAAAATGTATTACCTTTTTCATTAGGGTCCTGCTAATTTTAAAATATAAATTTTTTTAACTTCAAGAAGCTGACAAATTTACCTAGATCAAAATAGCATTTGGTAAATGTGTGTTGAATGAAGGAACGAATGGTTTAAATTCCCACACAGTGGGACCTTTGCTTGAATCATGCTGATAATTGCTTTTAATCCAAGTGAACAGCCTGAGATTTTAAGATCTTCATTAAAAATTAAATATTGCAACATTCATTCCTAGGGTCGCTGTAATTGGTTCAACCCCATACAAAAAAATGAAGAAGAGGAAGAAGAGGAAGAAGAAGAAAAAGGAGAAGAGCCTGACTACA